CCCCCCCCCCCCCATTTTACCAGTTTGTTGCTAAAGCTTCTCAAGTTAGAAAAAAAAATATCTGTGAAACAGACAGCGCTCTAGAGACATGTAATTCTAAAGCATACTTCAGTCAGAGGATCATGATCCTGATGGTCTTCACTTGTGATTTAATACCTTGCTGTCTCAACTTGACTTTATTGCAGTAGCAATGCAATGATGCTAGAAATACACTGTAAATAAAACATGCCAACTTAGTTGCACACTCCACATAAATGACTTTAAATAAATAAATAACTCCATCACACAAACATCAGTCGAAAATGCAATTAAAAAGTGCCTCTTGCTTTGTGTTGTAAAAATATGAAATAGTACTCGGAACAGGTTGTTTCACATAAAAGTCTTCCCTATAGTCAGCAGCTCCAAGGTCAAAGTACTGGAACTTCATTTTTCAAAGTCGAAAGGATGGTTTAATAATTATTTGGTATGAAGACAACTCTGTTTCTCTACCCTGCATACAGTATCAAATTCAGTATAGCTTGATACGTCTTGTATTTTCATTCACACTTTCATTACAGCATACATTCTCTTGAATCCTTCTAAAACAGCAAATGAAATATATAATGCAAAGGGAGAAAAAAGAAAGCATCAGAATCTTACTAGAAAAACAGTATGCCCTTTCTTATCCTCCTTGTTCTAACCATGAACCGCAGCAAGCACTGAACAGTGGTGGATATTGGAAAATAAAACTGAACTATAGGGCTTTATGCAGCTTTAATGTCCTCGTACAGCAGTGATAAATTCTGAGTGCCACCACAGTGTCACCTCCACGATAATTACTCAAGCAATAGATATCTCATTAAAGAGAACTAAGTGTCTCAGAAACGGCCTTTGCTAGCAGAGTTAGTCTGTAATATATCGGAGAGAAAGGACCCATCAGTTCTTCTCAAATTCTTTGCTAAACTTCAGTTCAACAGTCAAACATGTCTAGGACTAACAGGAAAAGTCACCCAGGCTTTTCATGCTCCTCTTACTTGCCTCAGCCCAAACGGCCTAATTTTTCACAGTGCGTTGGGAGAGTTATTCACACAAAGCTCAAACCACAGACAAAAACAAGGGGTAGAGCGGAGCATCACATGAAAGAGGTTTTTGGCCCCATACTTGCGACCCAGATTCCTTTCTTAGCAGCCAGATTCAAAGGAGCAGACATCAGGCACACCACAGGGAGTCATCTCCCCAGTTAACCTCGCTGGCAGAAGACATTACAGTACAAGGACCAGCCAAAGTAAAGAAATCTTCATGTGAAAGTGGAATCTTAACAGCAAATACTAATTTTCACCTATTAAAAAGCTGTAATGTGTGTATACCTAACACAGTAAATGCTTGAAATACGGAAGTATTTCTTTCTTGTTTGGCTGAATTTCTCTCATCTTCCTAACGGGAGCTTTGAATTTACAAAGCAAATAGCTTCCGTTTCCTTTTCTGATGTCATTTTTGCAGAAAACACCTTCTAATTTGGAAAGTCATGCAGTTCTTACCTGGTATTCTAAGAAGAGAACTCAGCAATGTTTTCACAATAAAAGGCCAGCAGGCTTGTTGCAAAGTCACCGAGAATGGTGTTATAAAATGCCCCTACTAATAGCGATTGCAAACTAAACGTTTATTTACCTTTCTGTAGTCTTAAATAAACACCATTTGCTCTAGAGGAAATAGAGTGACTTGTCAGCCTCAGCAGCTTAAATGAAACATGAGGAGAGCGTACCTGCATGACAATAAGAAGGTCAAACACCAAGATGAAAGAAGCCAAGAAGGCTCTTGAGACTTCGTCACTTGGCAGAAATCCACGATTCAGCTTGTCCCAGCTGATCCAGTCAGTAGTGATGACAAGCACAACGACAGAGGTCAGAGTAAACAGAACCGTCCTGCAAGGGGAAAAAAAAACACCACAATAGTTCAGAGACAATACAATAGTAATGAAGATGCACCATTCTATTTTACCTGTCTTCTAATGGTCTACTAGTGCTTCAGCAGTACTTTTCCACTGATGAAAAGAGATTGAAGAAAATTAAGTGTATAAACAAATCATTTAATTCAAAATAGGAAAGCAGTCAGCTGTATCCTTAGTACAAAGAAATTTAGTAGCTAGTACTAAGCATGTTGCAAAATTAGGCTGGAGTGTATCACTCTTGTTCTTCATTCTATATTTTCCACTAAAGATGCAAACCAATTAAGTAAAATAAGAAAGAAGTAAACTATAATAACATAGCAAGGACTGTACGATTTAGGCCAAATTCAAATGAACAATTTGAGAACATTTTAAGGCAAAGACATTAGAACCTTTGAAAAGTCTTTTCTCAGCTGGAGGAGCTATAGGACACTAACTGTGAAGTCTGCTTTTTATACAGAAACACGTCTGTATGAAATAAGTTTTCATTGCACTAAATTAACCTTTAGTAAATTCTGGGGGTTGGAGAAACATCTTGCGTTTGTCTCCTAAGATGTCCTTTGTACAAGTTTTCAACACATCTTATGGCATTTCTGAGACATCACTGAAGAGTGAATTACAAAAGTAATAAAGCCTCCATATGTATGCTATGAGAATTCCAGTAGACACTTTTGGCCAATTCATACGATTTTGCAATATGGTATTTAAGAAAATGTCTTTCTAAGCTATCTCCCCAAAATAGCTCTGTATCATTTCCAGCAGCGCTTTGGTGATATCCTTCAGAGCTGGCGGAGACGACTGATGGAGTTCCTGGTTCCGTGGAAGCAGGCAAACGTAGCTGGTAAGCTGAGGGCGAGCAAGGCTTCCCCCAGCAGCCACAGCTGTCAGTAAACCTCGGCTATAACAGGGGCGTATCAACAGCTGAACGCACACACACACAGCTAAAGAATTGTGGCAGCGTGGAGTTTTCTTTTCCTACAGCAATAAAGTTTCATCTCCTTCAGCTACTGATGGCTCTGAAACAATGTGAAGAATATTCCCCATGACACTTCCAAACAGGACAAATACTCAGCAGAGTAAAAGAAAAATCCGTACACCAGTAGTACAGACTGGTAGGCTGTGACGTGTTTCTTTCTATACATCAGCCTTGGCTGTGTCTGTGTAGGAAGGGAAAACAAATATGCACATAAGCAGTAGTGTACACATTTGGACTCCTAAATATTGTTCTTCTGTGGCACAATGGGCTGTGCTTCTTCACAATATGATGAGACACAAAATGACTTGATTGCTATCACCTTTACCTTTGAACATTTATTTTTATTCTTAATAAATTCAGTTATATTCAACACTCTGGTTGGCACTAACAGCATCCCTTGAGTGTATTACCAGCACGTGGGCAAGAAAAAAAAAACCAACTGAGGCATATTAGATTTAATTAGACCTAAGCAATATCCAAGCCTCCTTACCCCCAAAACCTCCGCTTAGCTACCATCTCACCTGTCAGTACCTGAACCTGACTGACTTTTCTACAAGCTCCACTTCGGCACACACCCAGAGTGGTTCACCTCAGAAAGGCAATTCATTACCGCGTTCCTCCCTCGCATACCGTCTCGAGACCCACAACAGTGGTTTTTCCCACCTATACCACCTTCATATCCGAACCTCACATGGAGGTAAATATTCTCACTGTAGCTGAGAATCTCCAGCAAGCCCTCAGTGCTTGTCTGCTGGGCACACTGATTTTCCCCGTCCTCTTTCCGAGGAACCCGCGCCTCCTGACACACAGGCAGTTTGGAACTGTAATTCAAGTCTGCAGAGTTTGCTATGGGAACCATGTACCCAAAAGTTAAGCTCAACACTATTCCGCTCCAGTCCTCTTGAATTATGCATTTGCATTCTGGAGCACAAGTTCAAAGCATGGAAGGTCAGACTTTGGCATGCATGCAGGCAAAGGCAGGCATATTTTTATGCATGCTTCATCGGCATGCATGCAAAGACCGATGTGTGTGCTCAAGCGCTGATCTCCTTGAGGAAATGCGTATGCACTTAAACTTCTTTGTTATTCATTCTGAAATGTCAATTAGGGAGGGAAGGGAGAAAACGGGCTGCTAATAGAATAAGAAAATGTGAAACCAATAAAAAAGGTTAGAAATAGACTTTTGAAATGGTTGCATTAAACAGTATAATTAGCACTCTCTCGTACTTTTGACCTATGATACTGGAACACAGGAAGATATTCAATACATGCTTTTGGAGTTACTATAAACCCAGTTTGTCTGGGTTAGAGTTCAGTTCACTTCTTGCAGAAGCACAGCATTGCCCCAGTGTCCTGGGGACTAGGAGAAGCAGCTGAGGATTTCGTTTTACTTGACATAACTTGTATCAGATGAACCAATGTGAGCTACCCTGCAATATCTAGGCCAGCGTAGTTTCTCCTTTATTCTGCAAAGCACATTTACTGAGAAAGAGCCATGCCATCAAACTATTCACAGCATCGCCAGCAGGACCTCTCTGTCTTCTGCTAAAAGAAGGGCTATGAGGGGAAAGGCAAGAGAGGACTGACTCGTCTCTGTACCAGCCATTGAGAAATGCAACTTCTCTACTTCACAGAGGAAATACACTTTTATATTTCACTTTTGATTATAGCTTGCTGTATTGAATGATTATGTGCCCTGAGCACCTATCCACCTACAATAACACACATTTTACAACCTAGCCCATACTCTTCAAGATACAAGGTTGCTATGAAGAATAAAAATTTTAAAAATGTCTGCAAAAAAACCACTGTCCAGGTCAATGGCATACTGAGAAGTTAAAATTATGTAGGTCCAGAAAAGTCAGTACTGTGCTTACCACTGCCAGTGATGATCTAAAATCCCCAGTCCTACACCAGGCTGAGGGAAAGTTTGAAGAGAGGAACTTTTAACTGCCAGGAACCTCTCAAGAAACAAGTAATTTTTTAGATTGTATCTCTATAATTTTTGATAGCCAGGACTGAGTTTGGTCTTGAATTTGTCAAAACAAGTCACTCATGCCAAACTGCATCCACACTGCTGGCCCTCACTTGCCAACAGAACATTAATTTTGTTCTCACACACTTAGCAAGGGTCAAAGCAGATGTCTTCCGCTTCTGCATCTTCCCACAACAGCACTTTCTTGGACCATAAGCTTTGGCCAAGCTGACCAACGACTTAGCATCTATCACCCAGCATATTATACACTTCAAGAGGTTATGCACAACACAGGCCAGAAGCTTGAGCAGGTTTTTGTCATCGCTGGTGGCTGCAGACAATCCCTCATGGCGTACAGGGTCATAACCTCAACCTTGCAGTCTCCATCATGCAGAAACACCATTTCTGGAGGAGAAAGGCTGTAACACCTCATTTTCCTCTACACTACTACAATCAGTAGTAAGTACACAACATGCACGTGCAATAGGCCATCTTCAACAAACTATGCCGAGTACCTGGCATTAATTTACCTACAATGTCTCCACACTGCTGTCCTAGCGTTCAAGAACACAGGCATCATCTGCTGAAGTCTGGACAACCCTACCCCAGACGAGCTGTTTGGGAAGCACTTCTTGGTGGGGAGATTGAGAGCTGGTGCGTTATGTCACCAGTCACCCGCTCCCATCACAGGTGTCATCCACAGCTTTGCTCCATGCCATCTCTTGAATGTTGCAAAAGTCTGAGAATCTGGCGGCATATGAATCTCCTGTTTGCTCAGCGGAGGTCACAGTTATGTGAACAGAAAAAGGCTGTCACTGCAGCGTAATGCAGATCCTGGTGGATAACAGGATTGCATGAAACATTTAGAGAACAGGGCATCTTTGGTTCGGGGTGGGCCAGTACACAGGTACTGACCTGCACTGTAGGCAGTGCTGCACATTCCCTGCTCTTTCTGGGGAATAGAAGTCCATACATAATTTTTTTTTCTAATATGCCCATAAATTTCACAGCATGTTCATGCAGCTTGCACTGGGCTGCTTTGCTATGAGATCACAGACGTCATTTGTTCACCTCAATACAAGCTTTCTAAACCCTGTGTTCATTAAGCAGGCACGCAGTGCACTGCATAGCTTCTGCTAAAGGAGGAACTCTGCTAACAGGACCATCACTGGAAACAGTGGGCTTCATTTCGCTCTGAGAGTCCACACGTGCGAGAAAAGAAAGCAAAACCCACAAAACACAGTGGAATGAGTAATCCATCCAGTGCTGTGAGGTCTTAAATTTTTTGGTAGGATTCTTTGCCAGAATCTTTCCCCAGGAGATGCTTCCATTCCTACACCCTCAGCTACTTCATGGGTGACATCACTCAACAGTGGCCAAAGTAAAGATGACTTTTCCCATTGCTTCCAAGCAAGCCCAGCTTGTTGCCATTTCCAAGTGGTAGGGACAACCTGAGATACTCAGCTTCCTGGGATGTGAGGAGCAGGAGCTGCCACACTGCACGCTGGACATAACTCTGTTAACAAGTTAATTCCCAAAGGAGTTTTGTAAGCACTTAAGACTCTCCAGACGGCAGACTCCCTTACAGTGCTGTTTCACCAGTGCCCTCATCTTACTGCAGACATTGTCCTTGTCCTGGCTGACTGGTCTGTAACTCCTCTCCCTTGGCCTTACACCTGCACAATCCTGACCTTATGAACTGTAAGTTCTTCATGAATGGGATGAGCCCAAATTTGCCTGTGGAGAAAAGAAAAAGCCTCTTGTTCCCAAGGGATCTGCAATGCAGTTGTTGTTCTCAATCTGTAACTGCATTCAGATACATCAATAATTCTCTAGATCCGTAACTAGCAAGAAATAAAAACCTTCTCCATCAGAAGCCAGCAATTTGGAAATACCTTTCCAAAGAGCGTGGCAGGGAATGTCACAGTTGAGCTTGTGCAGTTTAGTGCGCAGACTGCCATACCAGGGTTTGCAGTCCATCTGTCCAAAGGGAAACGCCACCACTGCCATCCGAAATGCCACTAGTGCCATCCCATGCCTCTGCAGTCCTTGCCCTGAGAGAGCAAGAGCACTGTGTGCCAGAGCAACAGACGGACTTCTCTGAAACACAAAGCTGGGCTCTGGAGGAAGACCTGCGAGAGACTAAGCCAGGAAGGGAGAAGGGAATACCCATGGCTTTGCCATCTACTACAACCGATGTCAAGTGTCACTGCAAACCTCGGATTTTCTGGCTCTATTTCAGGGGGAGGGAGGGCCACATCATTTAGTTTGGTTTTAATTCCAAAATAGCAGCACTGCCACCAGCCCTCCTGGTAAGAGGTTTTCCTGACTATATCTGTAAACCGCCCACGCAAGCGCACATACTCTAACATTATGGGCCATGACAAAGGCAGTTCAAACTGGAAGGCTGGCTTGCCCGTGCCACTTCATTAAATCAGCATGCCAAGCACAAAGTTGTCAATGTTCTTAGAAGTCTTGGCTGGGAGAACACACAATGTACTGCAGCAATCTCAGGTCCTGGCTGTTCGGAGACACCCACTTCTGCTGTGTTGTGTGTCCCACCTCCCACCTCAGGAATTCCCTAGGCAGAGTCCATGAGGCCCCGACTCGCCCTCCTGCAGCCCCAAGGCAGTACCACAAAACCATCCATAGCACATCCCCTCCAGACCCAGGCCAGAAGTACCTTTGACTCCACCCAGGAAACAGTCTGTGTTATTTGTCTGTACTGAGCCGAAAACTGAACAAAACAGAATTTCTCCCTGGAAAGATAAAGACAAGCTAAGAAATGTATACAAGTTCACAAAACATTTAATGCTGGAAACAAGAATGGTTTCCAATCTGAATCTCCTGATTCTTCATGTCTAACTCAGCAGGGCAAAGCATACCGAAAACAAGTTCTGGGCTGTGATGGGACCTCATTTCTCAAACCATCACATAACGAAAGTGAAGTTTTTCATTGCTCAAATATCAAATACAATTCTTTGCACAACCATACATAAGGGGAAGATACCACTACCTACAATCTACCAGGAACTTTGAGCTGCTCATTGTTAGAGCTATTTAGAACTTTCTTGACCTGCATGACCCTCTGCCCAATCTTTTATGAAGCTACAGCTTTGACGATCAGATACCAAGAGTTCTGCTAAGATCAACTGAAGAGATGAAAGACAAACTTTGGCTATTTCCCTCATGTCCATTTTGTCTTTTCCAAGACCAAAAAAGCACTATCTTGCGCTTTGACTACAACTTTTCCAGAAAAAACCCTCTACCTGTGCTTAGTCAAAAGCAGTGCTTGGATTTCTATGACAAAGCATTTTGAGAACTTTTCATCACACTTTCACATATAACTGCCACTAAGCCACTTTCACACTAATTACCACTAAGTGTTAAACATCACTAATAAGCATTTCAGGTATTGCTTAATGATCTGTACATTTGGGACAGAAGGACACATTAATAAACAAACAAGATAATAAATTCTGTATTCCTATTACTGTTCATTAAGGAAATGAGCATATATACTTAATAAAATATATATGTGAACTTACTAAACAAAGAAAATTAACTAGCATATAGTCTAGGTATATTTAAACTGTAAATAAAACCATGCAGCAGTTAATCAGCATTCATCAAAACTTTCATCTTCAGATGGTGTTGTAGGAAACAGAAATGCAATTCTAATCAATGTTTTATAAATTACTATTTATGTTTTCATAGAATGGTTTGGGTTGGAAG